TTCAGAGAAAATAAATACAGATGCAGCTTGCAAAATATCTTCTATGCCTCCTCCCTGACATATCTGGCTCCCACTGGTCCCCTGTAGAATTCCAAATTTTTCACTGCATATCTTGCAATGTATGTTCAAACATGAGAAGTAGAAGCAGAAGCAGGTGAAATAATCTCTTTACCGGTGTGTCATAATTCTCTTCCTTTCAAACATTTTTTTAATTGTCTACTTCTTCTAGATTTTTAACTATAAAGAAGGTGATTATGGTGACACTCCCCCTTTCAAAACATTAAAAAAAGGTCATGCAGCCCCCTGAAATGTCTTAAAAATAGTATTATATGGATCACTGGCAGCAGCAAACACACCTTGAGAAGCTACTCAATTGATGGTCTGTTGACACAGAAAAGGAAAAGAACAAAGAAGCGCTGTTTTATCAAAGAAAGTTATTCCCAAAGTGAGGTCATGTTGCTTTAAATGAGAAGGTTAAGGATTCTTTCACACTTCTGACTTTTTACTTTGATGTTAACCTAACTTTGAGGCACGAAACCTCCCCTGAACTTCGGTCCAGTGACGACAGCTGGACCAGATCACAAAACTTAAAGATGGTTGGTTTCAATTCTAGAGTGGAAACTTAACTGAAACTCTGAAAAATGTTGATTCTTTCCAGATCTCTTCAGAGATGATGACAGAAAGAATGGAAGAAAAACGACACCACGTGAAGATAAGGAAACTATTTCAGCAAACCAATCCCTAAAACAATGTAGAGAGCAGCAAGACAATAAATCCATGCATTTATTATTTATCCATCCACTTTTGCAGATAGAAAGCTACCTGCTGAACTGACAACAGTCTATGTCAGAGGCACAACCTTCTATAAACTGAGGATTCCACATAAGTTCAGTGGTGTGGTATGACTGAAATATGAAATATAACAAACTGAGAAAAACTCAAATGCAGTGGAACCTGACCATTAATGTGAATTATGTGTATAATGTGTATGTATATCATTTTGACCCTGTGTGGATTAGAGAAAATTCGAAATATTATCAAAGTTGTGCACCCGATTGTTTTATAAAACCATAAAAGTTAAATGCTATAGAATCATTCCACCCTGCAAAAATTACATACCCCCCAAAAAAATCATAGAAAGCCTAAAATTACCATGACATCTATGGCCGTGACAAGTGTCTGTGAACTTGTGACCAGAGCTATACAGACAACACACATATGCAGTATGTGTATATTCCATTTCCTCTCAAAACATCATTTCCTGGAACATAAGCTGAATTCTCAGAAGTAGGCTTTGTTAGTACCTGTAAGAACTGCACAGCAAGTCTTCTAAAATAAATGCCTCATTTACAGCAGACCTATAGTGTACAGTGCATGTAGTGAACATATAGTGTGACTTTTTTAAAGACTGTTTTAACGACTGAAGTGTTATCTCATACAACCGATTCCTGTCTAGCTACATGAACACGAAATGGCTATTTTTCACTTTTAAGACACAAAGGTCAGTAATGGATCAAATTATTTTGCCGATCACACCAGACACCAAAGTGTGAGAGATATGCATCATAGGCTTTTACGCTTTTACGGCTCCTGTGTGACCAGGCTGAACTCTGGATGCTGGTGGAAGAACTGGGATGGGACAGAGCCAGCAGGCTGTCTTTTCTCACATGTTGGACATGATGGGAAATTCTCTGCATCAGATGCATCCTCACTACTCAAAAGACTCTATTTGTTTCAAACAAGGGTCTGAACCAGCAACGTCAAACATGCGGACCTAAGAACAAAAGTGCACTGGATGGCTTTTTGAAAAGTGTGAATAAAAGCAGAAAAGTCATTTATAACTCCAATTTTATAACTAAGTGCGCTGGTAGTATTGATGTGGGGTCACTAGTGTTGCTAAATAGCAGTGAAAATACATGCACATTTAAAGAAAAACTTCCAAATGTGAAGTTGCATGGGTCATAAATAAGCAGCACAGCAACTTTTGTAGATGTACTGTGATCCATAAATTTTAATGTGCATGCATTGGCACTTTTTCAGAGTAGAAAAATAGAGATTTTTAAAGTAGTGTTTATCTTTCATCTGTTTGGTAAAACGATGGTTCATTAAAGGTGAACAATGGTTGGTCTAGACCATTTGAGGTCAAATTGAGCCAACTACAATGACTTTGACACCCTTGGTGTTAACTTTAAATGGTCTGGTAGAGCGTGCAGGAGGCAGAACACATGGCGTTCACTCACTCAGTGTAAATTCACTGGACAGCTGCCTCGGCTTTTCACACATGGGCATGATTAGATATTAAATTGTAATTCGCAGTAAAGAAGGATGGCAAAGAATTTATAAATCCCGCAGAACATTTGCATTCTTGTACTCAGCTCCACCAGGCCGTGAAAGTGCACACATGAAGGCACATTGACACTGATGAGTGGTTTTAGCTATTTCAGGAAAGAGCTGAAGAGATGCTGTATTTGTAATAAAAAAATAAAGGTTTCAGCTTTTTTTCTTTTAAATAACAAAACCTCTCCAACTTTCATGCTTACCTCGCTGACTGTGTGTGCAGCTTGTGTAAAGCACCTGAACCTCTTCAGGTTCAAGCTGATCAGAAAGAAGTTTGCACCTCAGCGGATTATGTGTCCTGCTCTCTTCTGCATTTTAGAAAGGACACACCTGGAAGTAGCTTTATCATAAATACACACGCTCTCACACATGTGCATGTACAAAGCCACTATATGGTTCCCGACAGGAACATTTATGTAACGCACAATAGACAAAACATACAGAGGTCTGAAAGGACTGCCCATGTAAGGGGCGTCCCACCCACGGCTGCCCTTTGTGTGTCTGTCTGTCACAGCCAACTGAAAGTATTGATGGATAAAGACGCTAAAAGTGGAGATGATGAAAGCAGAGTAACCTGTGAATGAGGGAGCAAGAAGACTGAAGACTGGTGCTTCGCTGCTTTAGTGTTAAAGCTGCTTGAAATATTTTCTTAAAAGTCTTTCTTAGCTGCCTGTTTAACAGCACAGTTCATAAAATGTTGCATTCAGCAGATACTGTCCACTTCCTGCTGTGACAAAACAAATTTCCCACGTGTGGGACTAATAAAGGTTATCTTATCTTATCTTATCTTATATAAAATATGACAGCTGAAGACGATTTGATCCAAAACATAACGAGAAGTTGTGATGTGTTCTGAGAAGTGAATACAGAGCAGTTCTCTTATTATAGTTCTTGTATAGGTTGACTGTCTTGCTATAGTTCTCTCAGTCTATTACTGCTCTGGATGTGTTTACAAACCTACACGGCATGCTTAGCTGTTAACACGTCCTCCTTTAGGGCCTATTTAACCCTAAATAATGAACCTAAAATACAACTAGGTCAAGGGGTGGACAGGTAATGGCCTTAGGCCGTTTTCACACATGAACTTCGAAGTCTGAGAGGATCAAGTTGGGATATTTTCTCCACAAAGTCACTTAAATCCTAAATTTGAGCCACCTCTCATTCAAAATCATCTTCTCAGAGATGTTCAGGCAGCTTCCAACAATGAAGCGATTTTTGGATCACGCTCCGGAGGTCCTGGTCTGGCACCTGTGATATCTCTGTGGACCTTAAACTTGCTAGCATCGATGTCGTTTTCAAACAGACAAGACTTTCATGTGGAAAATCGCTGCTGGTTATGAGAACTGTGCGTCCCACTACAACTGAAAATTTTTCATCATTTTGCTAGACCTACCACATTGTAAGGGAGGATTCTTTTTTTTTACTTTTACAGGATTGTGCACTAAGAATGTGTACCCCAGGTTAAGTTGTTGGGGTGTTACTGCAGCATCCTGAGGGAGAACATTTGACAGCATGTCACAGTGCCATCTTGTGTCAGCACAGGGCACAATGATTATGCAACCCACATTCGCCTTTGACCTCTCACCCAGATATGCATCCCTGTGACTTTGTCCACTTTCTGAAAATCAAGTTTAAGGTTTGCTCATTTGACACTGAAGTGAATCCAGCAGACGTCACAGCGTAACAAGTCCAAGGGCCAAGGTGGCGTGCTTGAATGGAACTTCAGCTACCTACTGTCTTTACAGCAGGTAAGGGTTTTGACGTTTGGAGAACCATCATTGAAACGTTTTGATCACACCTCACTTCATTTGCACTGGTGGAAACACTCCACGTGGTTTAGCCAGGAGGCCTAAGGCGAGGAGCCTGAGTGTGAAGGAGGCACGTACCTCCCAGTGGTAAATGCACCAGACTATTAGCAGCACCATTTGTACCTCTGAGCAAGCCAACATCACTCAGGCTTTGTTCTAGGAATAAGGCAGGTTAAATATCAGCTAATGTTCTATCCAACATAATCCCCTGCCAAGCACAAAGGTTCACTGCTGCAGTGCACGTGTGAACACAAGATGTACGCAGTTTAACCCAACAATCGTTTTTCTATTAAGGAGAGGGGAAGAAAACAAAAGGAAATTACAAAAGAATTAACAGAGGACTGCCTAACGATTTTTCTCAGGTTTTAAATGATCTTTTATCCCCTTTACTAATAATCTAATAAGACTAAATAATCAAACTTAGAAGAGCAGTAAAATCTTTTATCCTGAACATGTAAGTTATTTTTATCTTATTTCTTCAAATTCAAGATGCAGCAGAAACAAATGATCAAAGATTTGGATTAAAGATGTTCAAAAGAAAAACAGCAGAGAAAAAGCTCGAGAACAGCCTGCAGTTTGATTCAGTTTTTCCTGTGATGTTAAAACTTGTCGGGTGAGAGTTTCCCTCTTTTTTTACATTTTTCTATTTTCATTCTTTTTAATCTGTTGTACTTTTGAAGTTTTCATCAAGAAACAAACTGCAAATGTTTTCTCCAAGAGAGCTTGTCAGCTTCGATGTACGACGGTACAGATTCTAATTCCAATGCTGCCCCCTGGAGGTGCAAATAATGTCTGCATGTCTGTGTGCGTATGTGTGTGTGTGTTTGTTTGTGTGTGTGTGTGGGGGGTCCCTACTTTAGTCTGGAAGCAGCAGAAGAGCTGTGTCAGATAGGGGTGTCTCCTGGCCAATGCTAAGATCCGTTTCTCAGTCATGGTGCAGTCCACGTCGTCATCCTGCAGGATCACGTCTTTCTTCAGCACCTTGACGGCATAAACCTCGTCTGTGCCCTTCATCTCCGCCAGCATCACCTGGTCACATGACACAAACTCGTTTGTGTTTTCTGGTCCATCCTTTTCACTGCACATCTTACGGAATTTCACAAACAGAGCTGCAGAGGAAGTGAGCCCACCTTTCCAAAGCTTCCTTTCCCCAGAACTTTGATAAACACAAAGTCATGCAGGTTCATCCTCTTGGCCTCTGGAGCGCTGTGACCTTTGACCTCGCCATTCGCCTGACTTTCTTCGCTTTCCTCTCCGACGCTGTTCCCATCACCTCCTGTGTGCGTGTCACACGTTACCGTGTCCACAGACGAGGAGGAAGACAGTGGGTGTGTTTTGTGCTCCTCTCCGCGGTGGTCAAATGACAGAGCCTTCCGGATGTTCTCCAGCTCCTTCACGTCTGCAAGAAACCAAGAAAAATAAGAGCTGTGCTGTGTGTCTCCATTCTGTTTGCTCTTCAGAGTTTAATAGTCAGAAAATGTGCCTACCCTGATCACACGGGGAGGTGGGGGCAGACTTTGAGCGATCGTCTTCTATCTGAGGGATCCCTGATAACGGCTGCTGAGGATCCTGAGCCTGAGTAAGCTGTTCACAGAAAACATGTCCCCATCAACATTTTCATCAAGAACTTATGATTCACGGTCGGTATGTTAACACCACATGCAGGCGACAGCAAAAACGCTCATCTCAAGGCTTCATAACAGGACTTCACACAGCAGCGGTTGACACCATAGTGCGTAGATCCATCTTTTAAGTACATGGTTTTTGAAGGACACACATAAACAGTGGAAACTAATTGAGGGGCGTACCCACTGGGGAGTGGGTACGCCCCTCAATTAGTTTCCACTGTTTATTCAGAAACACCTTCTTTAAATACCATTAAATATAAAATTTAGAATAACTCTAAAGCCTCTTGAGAACACTCTGGCATATTTCCAAACCTTTTTCCGTCTCTGGGCGCTGTTAGAGATCTTGTCTGGAGTGACTCCGAGGTCAGACAGGACTTTAGCGATCCCTCTGGCATCAACGCCACAGTTTGGAGCTACGTTGCTCTCACAGCGTCTGTGTACGTTCACCTTACAAACTGGGAAACAAAGCAAGAAGAGTAAGAACAGTTTCAGAACAGATTCTAGAAAGAGTTTATCCGAACGATAATATACAGACATCTTTAATTTGCTTACAGTTGTATTAACTAAAGAATGTCACGTGCTCACTTGTACCTTTACACTGGAGTCCCTGTCGCATCAGACCCCACAGCAGAGACCCACAGTGGTCACAGAAGGTGAGAACTTTAAAGTTGTGGATGCTGAACTTGTGCGGGACATTAACGCTGAATCTCTGAGACCCCACCTGTAGGATGCACCAAAGGACAGTAAGACAAACCTGCAAGGATCTAATGTTAGAGTGGTCCCTGAACTTTCTAAGAATCCGTGCGTAGGTTGTTAAAGTGTTTAACATCCGTACCTCCCCGACCAGGTCGTCCTGCTTCTTCATGCCGGCACATTTGGTAATGATCAGCTCATGGCAGCGCTTGTGGACAACACAGGTGCACACTGCAGCAGGTACACACATACAACGCACGCATTAACAGGTTTTACGTGTGATTAAAGTGCAGCCACTTGTAAAGGTAAATATTGTCTTACCTTGACACTGATAGCCCTGCTTTCCTAAAACCCCCCTACAATCAGACAGAGATAAGAGAAATGTTTAAAAAAAAGTGTTGTGGACTGCTGTCTTCATATTTTTTACATAATTTAGAAACTTTGATTCCCTTTTTCAAAGTTTATGTCACAATTTTACAAGATTATTTAAGCTGTATTTAATAGAAAATAGAATATCGGATTGTTGCAGTACTTTGATTTTGAAGGTCAAGCTTTATTGCAAGCCCCACAAAGGTTATGAGTGAACATCAAGGTCTGAATGATTATAAACTAGTCCATTAATTTGTTACATCAGCTTCTACCAGGGCCTAGAAAAATGGCTTATCTTTCACCTGTATTAACTTCTCTTTACTTTGAATTTATAATCAGTCTTTCACAGATAAAGTCCTGAATGATGAGGACTTATTGTATTTGCTCAATGCAAATACTTTTTTTTGATTTGTGTACTCTGTTCCAAAGTTTGGGTTTTGTCCTGTTTGTTGCCACTTATCTTTTTCCTGCTTAACTAACTACAGCAGGCGCTTAAACCTGAGGCTGGTTCGACTGGAAGTGTCTCCCATTTAAAAGGGAATTCTTTTCTCAGTTACGTCATTAACCAGTTGTTGTGGTTGTTTTTCTAAAACCGTGTGTCCTTACTTCCAATTTAAAGCAAATGTGTTTCACTTAATAAAAGAGAAAGAAGCGCAGCTGTAAGCAACTTGGTGGAAAAAGCCTTTTTGTGTTTAACATCATGCAAATTCTGCAGCATCTTCTCTTTCTTCTTTGGCTTTTTGTTGCACACATAAGGGAAGGTAGAGGTTGAAAGTTTTCCTCCTTCTAAAATTCTACCAGGAGGATGATGGGAGTCTAGTATTATTCTTCGGCAATATTCAGTGGATTCTTCAGCCTCTGCAAAATGATGCAGTCTATGCTGGTTTCCGACACATTTATACACGGCCAAGAAACGAAAAGTGGCGCTGTTCTCAAACCCACTGAAAGGGCGTATTTTTCAGAGATTATTTCAGGATATAACAGTGAGCTTACACAAAAATTAAACAGACTCCTTGCAGTTTTTTTGCTGATTCACCACATCACAGACCCTGACCACTCGGAGACCGAAACACAGCTCCCTTGTGATTCTGATTACACATCAAACGTTCTTTCAGAGCGCAGCTGAAAGCGAGCGGAGCACCGAGGCCACATGGTTTCCATGTGAGTGAAGCTAACAGCCGTTTGTTGGGATGGAAACAAACACAGCTGGCTTTGTTTGTTACTCCCCACTTCACAGCATCCACTGTGCTTACGTGTAAACAAGAGAGCAGGTTATTACTGGGAGAAAATTGGGTTAAGGAAGTGAAGCAGTGAACACACATCAGTGAAAGGCAGCTATTGTAAAACTGATGTTTACATACAGCTGGTCAGTTAAGAAACTTTTTCTTTATTAACCTATCAACACTTCATACGTTCACTCTGAACCACCCTTGGCATTTTCAGTGAGAGACTCTGGATTCATTAATCTTTGATAGAAGGACTCGCAAATCACACAAGTGAGCCTTGCTTTCATCTCTCTGCACTGCTGCCACATTCCCGTCCTGTCTTCAATGCAGACACACTCTCATCTACAGTTTGTTGATTATTTTTCTTTCTTTATTTACAGGTTTCTTTCTGCCGACCTGTGACGACTGTGTGCATATTAATCACTCTATAGACATGAGCGTGCATGTGCTTCTAACCAGATAAAGTCCCTGCAGTGCGAGCAGTACGTGGGCTGTCTCAGGTAGGTGGCCATGAACTTGTGTCCGTTGACTTGGTGGACTCTCCGACGGACGGCACCTTGACGCTTCCTGGGACGCATCCGCTGTCGAAACACACGCTCCTCATTTTCGGTAGAGCCTGCCGCTGCTGTACGAAAACACAACAAAAATACAAGAAGGATGTTATGTTGTGTTACAGTTATGGTTTTATTTCCAGTCTCTTCAGTAAGCCAAACTAATGTGAATAAGCTCCATTCATTCCGCTTTTTGATAGTCAGTGCTTTATAATCTTGGTTACTCATGCTGGCATCTCCTATAAATGAGCAACACCTGCACGATTGATGATAAATAAAAACTGCATTTCCAACAAGTAGCCAGTAGATGGCAATGACACTACAGGGCTGGCAGTGTGTCCCTTTGGTGACAATCAACGCATTAGTCCTTTTTCCTTAAACCAAGTCCCAGTGTTTGTGACCTCTGCTTTTCTTCTGGTTTAATTACTCAGGGGTTTCCCAATGGCAGTGCAGAGGTTTCAGTTACTGCCTGATCTTGTTAATTACACACACACATTTCATAGGATGAGTAAGTGAGAGCGGAAGACAGAGAGGTAAAGGAGAGGTCAGTTAAAGTCAAGTAAAGAGGAGTAAGGGAAAAGAGCAAAGAGTTAGGTTGAAACTTTGTAGAAATAGAGGTGGTGAGAAATAAAAAAAAATAGAAATGAGGTCATTTGTATTTATTAAATAGACCAAATTGTTCAATTTGATGTGTTAATACACCCAGATCTATTAGATTGTGCCATTTGGATAGAAGAACTCCATGTGGACTTTTCCCCCCCGACTACAAGCATTATCACTCACAACTAAACTCCGAGTACTGTGTGTTACATTCCACCTGACAGTGTGTATATTTTGGAGACGACTCAAACTCTCCGCTCACTGAGAATGTTTAAAAAAAGAACAATTGAATAATTCAGTCCTGTGATATAACTGATTTGCATTTTTGATATGACCGACGCTGCGCAAACATCTGTCTTCTGACTCTGTCGGCCACATGTGCCGTCGAGTATGCATTTCCAGTTTCCTCAACAGCCGTGGCTTGAGAACTCCAAACATCCTCTCTCTTTGATCTTACATTATTCAGCATTCAACAACGCTCATCGTGTAGGAAAGTAAAGCAAAGAGCAAAGCTCATCTGGGACCCTGACAGAGCAGCTGCTGCCAGTGACAGCCCAGGCTCAGCTGATATCCTTCAACACACCCAACTGGACAATCTCAAATAGGGAAAGCTACTTAAGCTACTGCAGCATGCCCATCTGCAAGCTGCTCTGCACCCCAACCCCACCACATCTCCCTCTTTCCATTTAATGCTCTGACTACATTAGCGTCATATCTGCTGTCACTGATGCTTGTTCTGTTCTGCGCTTTGTTCTCAACTTTTTTTTCCACTGGCAACACCTGCAGCACTTTATCTCCCTCCCTCTGGAGGAATATGAGTTCCCAATGCTCCCGCAAATACATGAACTTGAATGCATGAAAACTTGGTTTGCTAGCTAAAAAAAGACACGTCTACATCAACTTACATGGAACCTGCTGAATGCTATTACGCTTAATGATTCTTGTTCATGTATATCGCATGTTTGCTCATGTATTTGGAGGTTTGAGAGATTGGCAGTGAAGCATTTTGCCTCTCTCTCCAAATACTAGAGCCAAACATGTGACAGATCGTTACACTTATTTCTATTTCTTCAAATTAGGGGAGTTCCTGGACTAATCTGATAGTTCTTTAGGTGACAGAGAAAACACTAAGAATATTCGAGTGGTCTAAAAGACAGAAGACACTTAAAACTGAGCAGATTGTAAATGCACAGTTTCCTGCGTAACCATGTGTAACCATTCTGACCAGTATAATGCTGGTTAGTGCGGTCATAATCGGTTTACTTTCCACCTGTGCTCGATTATGACTTCCATTCAGATAGAGTGGGAGAGAAGGTAGTAGCAAGTGGGATGATGACATCTTCAAACGGGTAACTGTTGTTGTAGATTAATACTATAAGAATAATATGTTTAACCGACCAGTATTTCTGGATATGACTGGACATGCGCATGCCTGTTTTAACACAGTGTTAGCTTATAATGTGCGATTAATCACCATTTAAACTACTACAATCACAGTTAAGGTCAAATACAACAGTTGTCATGTCTTTTAGAGCTTTTTTCTTGGAGGTCAGAGGGTCAAAAAGTCTGGACAAGTGAAATACATCAATTTCAAAGTCATGATGTTACAAAAAAAGGAGACAATTAGTATCCACAAACATGAAGAGATGGATTTTTTTGGGTGAGTATTTCACATTTTGCTGCTATGCGGTGGTAGCTGACAGAAGACACTAAAAGAACAGAGAAAGTGAGAAAGAAAGCTACTGAAATAAAGACATAGACACCAATGCTTTAGCTGGGGGAGAATTGCAAATCACAATCTGAAGTAAGTACAGAACAATTTAAGACCTGTGGTTAAACTCACGTGCAGTATTTCCCATTCAAATTTGGCTGGTTTGTGTAACTTAGCTTGAGTTCTGCTGTGTTTTCTCAGAGTGAACCCCAGTGATTGTGGTGATGTACTAACTGAACTTTCCTCTGGTATCACCACCTTGTCAAACTTTACATCTCCAGCAGCACTACTCTCTAAGCCTCAAAGACTTAGTCTACATTCCTTCCTGCCTGTCATGTTCTGCTTGTCATCAGTCTTACTCCTTCAGCCCCTTTGCCATCAGCATCGCCTAGCAACTGATGACTGCTGCCTGGCAACAGTGTTAGACTTGGTGTCTCACACTAGGGAAGGAGTCAGGGTTGGAGGTTGGCAGCGGTAGAAAGGTTGCTCCTCTGTCATGTCCTTATGACCCCAAAAGTTAGACTTAAGTAGGCCAATGCTTGCATCGGACTCCGAGCTCTTTTACCTTTTTTGGCTTTCAAAGTCAGGAACATATTGACAGATAGTCTCTGATATTTGTTGAGATGCAGCACACTAGTATCAAATGTTACCTTGAAGATTAAATGCCTGAAGAATTTTGTGAATAAATCTGAACATCATCTCCCTGCCATGAATGAATTAAATCTCTGAATCCTGAAGGATATCTGGATGCAGATTCATTTGTAACATTGTCTGAAGAACACTGGCCTGGTGTTCTTCAGCTCAGTGTTGATGTTCAACACTTTTATGCTCGGCAGCGCCAAGCTTGCTTGCATTTTCATGCAAATGCATCCACAGTGTTTCAAGTAATTTGGCAAATGAATAGTCAGACAAACCAAGTAATCACATTACATCCTGGGTGAGTGAAGGAGGTAAACATAACTGCAAAGCTAAGTTATGTTTATCTAAAATGTAGATATTTATTGTTGCAAGGATTTTAGTCCAGAGGGCCCGGTGGCGCCAGTGTCCGGCAGCCTCGCCTCTGTCAGTGCGCCCCAGGGTGGCTGTGGCTACAATGTAGCTGCCATCACCAGTGTGTGAATGGGTGGATGACTGGATGTGTAAAGCGCTTTGGGGTCCTTAGGGACTAGTAAAGCGCTATACAAATACAGGCCATTTACCATACTGGCACGATATACTGGAAATGTTTTGGCTCCACATCCATGATGTGAAGCTCAGACTCAGGCCAGGCAATCTAATCTTCCTTTCTTTGGTTTTGGTGAGCATGTGCAAATTGCAGCCTCGCTTTCCTGTTCCTAGCTGACAGGATTGGTACCCGGTGTGGTCTTCTGCTGCTGTTGTTGCCCAACTGTTTCAAGGTTTGATGAGTTGTACCTTCAGAGGTGCATGCTCACCTGCATACCTTGACTGTAATGAGTGGTTATTTGAGTTACTATTAGCTTCCATCAACTCAAAGAAGTCTGCCAGTTCTCGTCTGGCGTCTGCCATCAGAAAAGTATTTTCACTCAGAAAACAGCTGCTCACTGGGCATTTTCCTCTATTTTTGGACTATTTTCTATAAACCCTACTGAAAGTTGTGCAGGAAAATCAGAGTAAATTAGCTTTCTCTGAAATAGTGAGACCAGCCCATCTGGCACCAATGATTATGCTACGTTCAAAGTCACTATATCACCTTTCTTTTTTTTATTGTGTGCTTTTTTTGTGTGTGGCTTTATTTTGAGCCCCTACTCTATTAACCTATTTCTATTCTGATGCTCAGTTTGAACTTTGAACAGCAGGCTGTTTGACCATATTCCCATGCATAAATGTGCTGGTTTCTGCCATATAAGCAGCTGAACAGGTATACCGAACAAAGTATTTGGTTGGTTAGTTTATGTTGTATGTATTTGGTTAATAAGATTTTTTATCAATAAATTATCAATAAAGAACTCACTAAATTGTTGTGTGTCCTGGAGGAAGCCATAGTCAGTATTTAGTTGTAATTTTATTTTATTTTTTTGCTGTTGTTATTGTTTCTTTATCTGTTTCATATTAATGGTAATATTTAGTCAACACAAAAGTGAGGTGACCCACTACTATTGGTGTACGGTATCCCGTGTGCCAACAGACAAGTCTGTGTTGAGCATGTGCATCTTAAGCATCGTTTTTTCATCACTTTCACAGAAGGATAGTTTAACAGATGATAACAAAAAGGGTCAGACAAAACACACACATTACACTTGATTTTAGCAGCAGAGTATGACCCTGGAGACAACAAGGCTTTGTGAGAGAGAGTGTGTGTGTGTGTGTGTGTGTGTGTGTGTAGCTGCTTCCACAACCCCGTGCTTGTATTAAAGCTAATAGGCTGATTGCTGCTCTCAGGCCTGACAGTTCACCCATGTCTTCTTGGCTATGCAAACACATTTAAGTAATGACTGCAATTGCAGTAGATCACAAACACACAGGCACATAAACTTACTGTATGCCACTGCAAAGAAACAACAAGGAGCAGAGTCCCAGCAGGCAATATAGCTTTAGAGTCCATTTACGAAACACAGAGGGAAAAGGAAAATTAATATTTCCTGCAGAAAAACCTAATGAGACCTCTTTGTCACTCTCTACTGATCTCCCTCTCAATCACTTTCAATGATGTAACTGGTCCATTAGCGAACACTCCACTTTACTAATCAATTTATCACCCCACAACCACTCCCCTTCTCCTCTCGCGACCTCTGGATAACTCCCTTTCTGCCTTCTCTCTCACAGTCTCTCCAACATACCGTAAAAATGCAATTAGTTACAGATTAGATGTACCAATGTTAACTTTTCACCTCTGGTTCAACATTCTGTTAATAGGAGGCCCAATTGAAAAGCTCCACAAGTATGAAGAGAAATTTCAAAATAAAATTTTCTACAAAAAAAAATTATTTGCAATATCACTGTATTTTGCTAATTTGCGTGCGCATATCACTCAGTAGTTACATCTCCACAACAATAGAATAGAATAGAATAGAATAGAATAGAATAGAATAGAATAGAATAGAATAGAATAGAATAGAATAGAATAGAATAGCTCTTTATCGTCACTGTTGCAAGAACAACGAAAGGCAGTTTGGCATCTCTCCATGTGTGTGAAATACACGGTTAGTGTCCAGGGTGCGAGGGGTCTTTGATGATGATATTGACTTTCTGCTGAAGTCTGCCAGTTTAAATGTCTCCAAGGGGGATTAGTCAGGTGCCAATTGCCCACTCTGCTGCCCTCACCACCCGCTGCACTTTCCTCTTGTTGTCCACAGTACAGCAGTTGAACCTGAGTGTGCAGCAGTAAGTCAGAAGGGTCTTGATGGTGGAACGGTAAAAGTTCAGTAGCAGTCTCTGGGGTAACTGGGCATGACGCAGTTTCCTGAGTAAGTACAGCGTTTGTTGTGCTTTCCCTACCTGGTGGGAAATGTTTGTGGACCAGGTAAGATCGGCCGAGATGTGGACTTCGAGGAACTTAATTCCTTTCTACCCTTTCTACCTCCTCCCCATCAATGTAGAGGGTAGAGTGCTCAGATCGCCTTGTTCTCCTGAAGTCGGTTACCATCTCCTTGGTCTTGGCTGTGTTCAGATGCAGGTTGTTGTTTTCACACCATTGCTTCAGATGCTGAACCTCCTCTCTGTAGCTGAAACATTGTTGTTCTCGATCAGTCCTAGGATGGTGGTGTCATCAGCAAATTTGCTGATGGGTTAGGGTCTAAAGTCCGAGACTGAAGAAGTCACTTGGATGAGTGATGAAACGTTTCTCCCACAAAACGCTACGTCCAGATGAACAGAATCAACTTTTGGAGATTTACTTTCCTGGATGATTGAGAATGCATCAAGATATTCAGGTATTGCTACAAATCACCCAAACTGGCAGAACTGGCATTTCGAAACAAATTAATGCACAAAGCTGTAAAGGATGTCACCGTGGCTACATCCATCCGGTGGTGTAATAATTTCAGATTTTCATTGCATGATAGCAAATATAATTCACAAAAACAATAATATTGCAAAATTGATTGAAAATCTGAAAAATGGATGCGATCGGTCAAAATCATCCTCAGCTTCATTTTATTTACTTAGCTGAAGCAAACATCAGATATGCACTGCTCAGTTTTTATACTGCAGTAACTCAGTCAGGCCATGCACAAACTGAAGTCACACCTGTAAATCAAAGCTCAGTGTAGAGCCACACAGTTGCAGTGCTATGGTTAGCTTACACTACTCAAAATGGAGAAGAAAAACCACTGCAAGAGAAGACAATAAATCAATAATTAAACTAAGTATTAATTCATCAACAGCTTGCCCGTCTCCAATGCTTCACTCAACACTATAACAACAGCCTAACTATACTTTTGTATATGACTAAGGAAGCAGGTTTGCTGCGGGAAGTACCTCGCTCCACAAGTGAGAAGTTGCTGCAGCAACAGAAAAGTGAACCGGTTAGTGGTTGTCAGCTTACTTTGGTCAGGCATAGTGTGGTTGCAGAGTAATGGTTACTGAAAGGGAAGAGAACCACGATAAATTGGAAAGTGATTCTGCTGCCCTAACTGGGCTGGGCTGATTATTTTGTCATGTGCGAATATTTGACATATCAGTTCTTCATTTTTATATATCTTGAACCTTATGTCCATCTTTTACATGCAGTCTATGGGGCCTCAGCATTTAGTCAAAGCATCAACGATTATAGTCTTGTTGCAAGTGTAAGTACTAGTTCTGTATATCACATCAGCATCTGCACTCCTTCTCAACTACACTGTTACATCTCTGTTTTGCAGTGAAACATACAGCAACACGTAGGAGTACAAGATTACAGCTCGAGGCTCTCTCGAAGCACTGTGTCTCATATCTTAAATGATGAGGTGATCTCTGAGTTTACAGTCAAACTCTGATTGCATCATTTAACTTATATCGAAGAAGAGCGCTGGCTGCACAATATCATTGTCATAGAAACACATAGGGAATCTGACACATCTATTTCCTAATGTAATGCTGCAAATTCCGTGCAGTGACAGGGTGACTCACTCCTGACTTCACGTTCTCACTGAGTAACAAAAACAAAAAAGAGAAGTAACTTAGAACTAAACACACATATCTGTTGGTTCATCTAACACCAACATTGTTTTTACATTCTCTTTGTTCCTCTATTCCTAATTCCAAATAATTGTCATTTTTAAAGTGTATGCTGCATTATAGAGCAAAAACCTACGTTCTCTTAATACAAATGGAGCACTATGCTTACATTATTGCTTTCACTTTCCTTTCACTTAATTCCCACTAAAAGCTCAAAAACTGCACATTAAGATGATTGGAGAAAGGATGTGAAACTATAATGACGATCAGTATGAGTGCAGTCATTTAACAAAGGCTGTGCAGACTGTTCTGGGTTTTTTATATTAGATATTTTTTTCCTTAATCTGATGGACTTTTATAAATCAAGAGGTTCAAACTTTTTTGTTTAACGACCATTTTAAAAAATGAAATAAAAAATAGCAGCTTTTTGCTGATGTTTTTACAATTTTGCCATCATTCTGTGTTTCTGGGAGACTTTACACATCATTATTTTACCTATTTTACCTCTATCAGAAAAACTATATGGACTGTAATTTCTTTTTTTTATGACAGTTTAAATTTTAGGAAGGCTTTGAGTTGTGCATACTTAGGGCATCTCTTTAAGTGACAAAGCCAAAGCTGTCTTCTACACTTTACATGCACTCATTCCCTTCTTCTGACTGTGCCTTTGCTAGCACTTAAAATAATATTGTTAGGTTGTTTTTAACTATATTCACTGCATGTTACAATTCGAGTATTTTATTTTAAAACTACATAACATGTGTTTGTCTCTATGCAATACAACCAGAAAGTCCAAAGGATGTACCTTAACAACACAACAAGGAGGGCCAAAGTGGTATACTTGAGCTCTTGCAGTTAGAAACTTTAACTTTTTAACTGTTTCTAGCTGCATGATAAGAGACCGTGGCTCAAGAGTTGGGAGTTCGCGTTGTAATCGGAAGGTTGCCGGTTCGAGCCCCAGCTCGGACAGTCGCGGTCGTTGTGTCCCTGGGCAAGACACTTCACCTGCTGCCTACTGGTGTTGGCCAGAAGGGCCGATGGCGCTTCTGTCAGTCTGCCCCAGGGCAGCTGTGGCTACAACTGTAGCTTGCCTCCACCAGTGTGTGAATGTGTGTGTAAATGGGTGGATGACTGGGTGTGTAAAGCACTTTGGGGTCCCTAGGCGGGACTAGTAAAAGCGCTATACAAATACAGGCCATTTACCATTTAATGGTGTAGTCTATGCTTTTATTTTAGCTCTGGCATACCTTTGAATTGTACTTACATATTTAACTTCACAAATATATCACTACTAGCGTTGTTATTACAAAATGCAAAATAACAAATTATTGAACTGTCATTGCATATTTATGTATCCTATTACTCTGTCCCATCTTAAAGATAGTGTTATTAATATCCTATTTATCTTCAATATTTGTTATATGAGCTTATTTGAATTTTTTGATAGAATTTATTAAAGTTTATAAAACATGCTGCAAATATGTAGAAGGACTTTGCACACATGCAAGGTGTTTTAATACATCTGAATGTGGCAACACTGGTTTTCTGCAATACAATGAGGAGAAGGTGTGAATGACAAACACAGGCTTTTGCCTCAAAATACATCATCATCATCATCACTTTACACTGAAAGCTCCTGCGATAGTTACACAGCAGCTCTTAACAAGAGATAAGTGAGACCGAGAGCAGTCGCTCTGTGTTACATACATGACAGACCCCGCTGAGCTTCATAAAACAGTTTCACTGAGTTCTTACCTTCACTGGAAGATCCTGATAGGTCAATAACAACATACACCTTCCCCTCTGGTTCCAGGTCAATCTGCAGAGAGAAAGGTAATGAGGAATAAAATAAGAAAAAGACAAAAAGAAGGCAAATACAAAAAAAAATTAGACAAACTCTTACTAAACGATGCCAAATTAGCAGCTTATGCTGCAGTGTACTCATAAGAGTCAACTTAATTCCTTTTATACTAAATGAAACTGAATTATTTCCTGAAAATAAGAAAATGATTCTTTAATAAATAATAATTTATTAACAATGCTTCTCTACTTTTTTACGTGTCAGGACCATTCACTCATCCTACACAGTTTTCCAGGGGTCCATAAAGGACAACACGCATAAAAAAATCACAATCCCCCAGAATAAAAACATTTAGAGATAAGATAAGATAGATAGAGATACAAAGCATTGCAGTTATGAAAAGCATTAAACAAAAGACATGCAAATATGTAAAACATGTCATTTTTCTCAAAGTATCATTGCACGTTTAAGGAAATTGGTGTTTGCAAGGATGTTACGAGGCAGCTAAGGCAGCTAGTTAGCAGAGTCAATAAGAGTAGCTTATGTAATGTTTTGGTTGTTTATTGTATTGTATTTATGCTTTGTTTTTTTTAATGATAGTATTAAATGGGGGTTTTTATATACTCCTGATAGAACAATGAGTCATTGCAAACCTGATGCAAAAATAATATCTATCAAAATATGAAGCTGCTAGACTCGCAGAGAGAAAACAACTGCGATAGATATTTCTGATTATACCGCCCAGCGCTATCTATGTTGGTTAGATATCCTGAGTAAGCGGAAAATCACACTGAATGAGGCCCGTAGATTCATGTGGTAAATGGTAAATGGCCTGTATTTATATAGCGCCTTTACTAGTCCCTAAGGACCCCAAAGCGCTTTACTTAACCAGTCATCCACCCATTCACACTCACATTCACACACTGGCGATGGCAAGCTACATTGTGCTCAGATAACTCTTAAGTGGTGTGACTCAGCAATTTATAACAATCAGGCGCTATCAGTTTTAAAATGCATGAACTTCATGCAGCAGTAAGACCATTTAAATATATATGATATAATTCCAATGAAAAATTATTTAAATGAAGAAGTGAGAAGATGGGGGACACAGGTTAGTCTGGTAGGGATTTAAGCCCCGATTAGGGTGCGTCTTTGACCAAACAGTACATCTTACAAGACCATCCTCCAGACAATGCCTGCAAGTGAAGCCAGAAGCAGAAGGTTGCCCAGGCTGCAGCGGACTTGCGTGCCTCAGGAGACCAACATGGAAACCACAGGGCGAGTGAGCTAAAACCAGCTGCAAAGTTGTTACTCTGACAAGCGAACAGGGCAAGAGATGCAAAGTGAGATGTAGACAAAGGAATCCATTAAAAATCCTTGCACAGCTTCACCTGAAGGCACCTTGTGAGTGTTGCATCCTCTAAACACATCTTGTTGGCTGAGGACTCTCTTTTAGGCTGGAACTGAGCTAAACATCAAGTGAATTCTAACTTTCGGCAGGGTCAAAAGTGCAATCAAGTAAAAGAAAGAGGTGCACTGACTCACAACACAAGGGGAAAAAAACATGAGTTTCCTAGAATTACTAGTTTTATTCCAATACCGCTGGAAACCAAAACTGCAAATTAAATTAAAATACAATTTTCCAGCCACCTAGCCCTACCAACAACTTCCCAGATTTGATACCATCTGAATTTGAAAACGCATAAAAAATCTAGACTTTTAGACAAGGGGCACGTGGTCTGATGGAAAACTGCTTCTTATTCTGCTATCACTATGCACCATCACTGCAAGCTAATTAGCAGAGATCAGTGGAGCAAGAACAGGGGGTGCATTACCCTGCTCTGCCTTCCCTTCTTCAAAGTTTCAGTCACCTTGTCTCAGTTACAGTTAGAGTGGCAGGTATGTAAATGTGAGGTCTGTTTTGTCAAATGTTTTTGCATGCTATGTTGCTCTCTTGCATGCACAATTATGCAATGAAAAAACACAAACCCTACCAAAAGAAGTTTTAAATAGGGGATCATTCAAAGGACAGCCCTATGATGTGATTGTTTCACATGTGGTTTTCACAGTATTTTCCGTTATGTGCTTATGGTATTGGAAAAAAAAAAAGCAACGCAACCAAAAAATTTTTTACCAACCTGTGAGAAACCGTACAACTGTGGCATCCTGTTGGGCCAAAATATCACAGTGCCACTTGCAAGACACACTGGCAATGTGGCAAGAAAGTTCAAGGAAAAAACTGCTGTGGCGTGCAGTTGAGATTGACACATATCCTGTCAGACACCCACACGTCAAATATATACCTCACAAACACTCACAGCCACACTCTCACACGCATAAGACCCATATGCAAATATCGAGGAGTCTGAATGGTTTTAGGGAGAAGTTGAGGGAAGTGGAGATTATTGAGTGCCTGCACGTGTGTGTGCATACAGTATAAATCAAAGCATGTATGTCTGCGCCTTAGCACACTTGAGCAATATGATGAAAGTGGGTACTGGCTGAAGGGTTCACTGAGTTTCTACCAGCAGATTGTACCACCCACGGTGGTGATAATCCCAATGTGAACACACACATTCACACATTCACACGCACACCGTGAACAGCAGTAAGCGAAGACTCGTGCAGTGAAGGCGAACAGGCGTGGGTTCAGTAATGTATACAGTAAGAGACGGAAAGCAGAGAGAGGGAGACGGATGAGGGGGAGGACAGAGAAAGTTTGTTGGCTCGTTCCAGTACGACAGTGAAGGAGAAAGAGGAGGGGGAAGAGGGTAGCACTCTTCCTGATCTTTTTTTTTTTTTTGCAGTTGTAGTTGTTAAAACACATTTTATATCCAGTACTTGTTCCTGGAATGGCACTTCTTTTTCTTTCCCCGCTTAATGGATCTTCATCATTAGGCAGGACAGTACACTGTGAACATTTTGAGGTTTAACAAGATAATTATTCTCATCCATCTGCATTTTCTAGAAGAACAAACGGAAGGAAGGAAGTCATTGTGGCAGATGGACAGATGAGAGAGGCAAAAAATTACCATGAAACTGACAGAGGAGGGACAGTTGCATTCTGGTGACAAGACTGAACGATCTATAAACAACAAAATTACTCAGATTTGGGCTGTTTTTGTTGCCTCTGTCTATCAAGCAAAGAAAGTGTGTTGTCTTTGTGACAGATATGGAAAGAACATGTAGGTGTACTGACAAGTGTATTGGGGATGTGTTGTTTTTCTAAACCCATACACACTAAAATTATCCAGGGGAAAAATGTTTTATAGAGAGGGATTGACATTAAGTGTAGTTATAAGTCAGGCAGATTGTTTGGAAGCAGTAAAGCAGGCCAATGATAGCTGTTTTTGATGAATAAAATGGGCTGTTTCCCATAACTGCTACAGCACCAGAAGTCTTTTTGCAACCAGAAGTATAACAATCTGGCTGTTCATCCACCCATCCAACCTTTGCTTATTCAAGCCTGGGTCATGGAGGTAACAGTTCCTTTAGTAACCTTCCTTTTCCCGGCAAACAAGGTGTTCTCAACCCACCTGAGAGATCAATGCAAAAAGCAGAAACCAGATCCTGAGAAAGTGCAAACCTTCCATCACTTGGTTACTCTGTTAAAATGGCGTTCATTCCCCTTTTCATACATTTTTTGAACAGAACTGGTGACAAAAGGCAGCCTTGGTGGAAACCAACGCAACTGGGAATGGCCTGTAGCAATATACCCCTACTATATACCCCACCACAAGATACCCCATACTCTCAAAACACCCCAACACACCCACATACATTCTCAAGGGGATAAACAGTTTATCCAGCATTCTGGATAGGACAATAACCAGATTGCTCCTCCTGAGTCCGAGGTTTAACTAATGGATAGACTCTCTTCTACGGGACTCCGGTACAGATCTTCCTAGGGAGGCTGTGGATTGTGATCCCCCTTTAAAACTCTCTGTTCCACCTTCTTAAAAAGGCAAACCATCCAATGGTCTGCCAATCCAGAGGAATCGTGCCAGATCTCTGTGCAAGGATGGGTCAACCAAGACAACCCCACAACATCAAGAGGGTTAAGGAACTCAGGCCGAATCTCATTGACCCCAGGGCCCCTTCTACTTGGGTGGATGAGAGTTGTTTAACTATCTCAGTGACATCACCCCTAGTGATGGATAAGGTACCCCCCACATTCCTAGAGTGCTTCCTCCATGGAAGCAGTTGAGGAGATCATCCAAGTATTCCTTCCAACACCCAACTATATCCACAGTGGAAGTCAGCAGTGCTCCATCCCCGCTGCACATAGTGTGAGCAGATGATTTTCTCCTCCCTAATCATCTGATGGCTTGCCAGAATTTCTTTGAGGGCAGCCAAAAGTCCTGCTCCAGGGCCTTAACAAACTCCTCACACACCCAAGTTTTTTTTATGAAGGTCCATGCTGGTTATTTGGGATGTGCCTGACGAGGCCCAGCAGGCAAAGGCCAGGTAACCAGGCACTCTTTCTAAACCCCTTAAAGACCAATCACCTGCAAAGTTAAAATTACCAATTACTGTTTGGCATGTAGTTGGCAAATGTTTGCAGACATTTTCCAGCCCATTCTCACTCCTGAGGCGTAATATATTGGTAATATATTGACGATTTGTCAAGTCCCGAGGCATTCCCGGGGAACGCGAAAGGTGACCTTCCACATTCTTATGCTATGCACCGGGTTAGGGATGAAATCCAGTAGAATAACGCTCCCGTGCTAATACACATTCCAGCCATGTATTCCCTAACCCTAACCATAACCTTATCCCTAACTTTAACCAGCACTTTAATGATGTTAGATAGTGTTTTCCAAAGCAATTTAAGTAAAAAAAACATTACATGCGTAGAACGGTTCTCATTTTTCCTAATTTTTCCGATCTCGTAACATAGGGACGTGTTGTCACCTGGCGCAAAATGTTGCGCTTTGGGAGTGAAAACGTGTTGCATATTCCATGCAAACTACAGGAAACTGTAGCAATATGCTAACGACTAATCGCATCACTTGCCA